TGGTGCATGGTATTATATCCACACCTTTATATTTACTAAGAGTTGCCCTATGGCATAATATATGATCTATCTTTGAGTACGATCCATGTGCTGCTGAGAAGAATGTGTATCCACTTGATGATGGTTGATATATTCTATATACGTCAGTTAAGTCTAGGTTATTGATTGTGTCATTGAGTTCTATAGTTTCTTTATTCAGCTTTTGTCTGGAGGATCTGTCTAATGGCGAGAGCGGTGTGTTGAAGTCACCCATAATTATTGTGTTGTGGTCAATTTGACTCTTGAACTTGAGGAGAGTTTGTTTTATGAACGTTGCTGCACCATTATTTGGTGCATATAAATTGATAATTGTTATGTCTTGTTGGTGAATAGTTCCTTTTAACAGGATATAGTGTCCTTCTTTATTCCTTTTGATTAACTTAGGTTTGAAGTTGATTTTATTCGATATGAGTATGGCCACTCCTGCTTGCTTCCGAGGGCCATGTGAGTGGTATGATTTTTCCCAACCTTTCACCTTCAACCTGTGTATGTCTTTTCCTATCATATGAGTCTCCTGAAGGCAGCATATTGTTGGATTTGTTTTTTTGATCCAGGTTACCAGCCTGTGTCTCTTGATTGGTGAGTTTAGTCCATTAACATTTAAGGTTACAATTGAAATATGATTTGTACTTCCAGTCATGTTTATTTATTTATTTATTTTAGTTTGGCTAGTTTTTACTTTTTGGTTGTTTTCCTCCCCCTTTACTGAGATACCTCCCGCTGTTGGTTTTGGGCACTGTTTTTCCATTCCTCTTCTTGTAGAATTTTGCCCAAAATGCTTTGCAGTGCTGGTTTTCTGGCTGCGAAATCTTTTAGCTTTTGTTTATCGTGAAAGATTTTAATTTCATTGTCAAATCTGAAGCTTAATTTTGCTGGATACAGTATTCTTGGTTGGAATCCATTATTTTTCAGCGTTTGAAATACATTGTTCCAGGATCTTCTCGCTTTCAAAGTCTGTGATGAAAAATCAGCCGTTAACCTAATTGGTTTACCCCTGAATGTAATCTGCCTCCTTTCCCTCGTAGCTTTTAATATTCTCTCCTTGTTCTGTATGTTGGCTATCTTCATAATTATATGTCTTGGAGTTGGCCTATTACAGTTTTGGATGTTTGGGGTCCTGTAGGCTTCCAGGATTTGGCAATCCATTCCATCTTTCATCTCTGGGAAGTTTTCTAGGATTATTTCATTCAATAGGTTGTCCATTCCTTTGGCTTGAATCTCTGTGCCTTCTTCTATCCCAATGACTCTCAAATTTGGTTTTTTGATGAGATCCCATATCTGTTGGATAGATTGCTCGTGAGATTTAAGCATCTTTTCAGTATTGACTATATTCTTTTCAAGTTGATAAACTTTGTCTTCATTATCTGATGTTCTGACTTCTACTTGATCTAGACTATTTGTAATATTCTCGTTAGCATTTTTAATCTGGTTTATGGTTTCTTGCATTTCTAAAATCACTGTTTGGTTTTTTTTTAAGATCTCTATCTCCTGGTAAAGCTCGTTCTTTGCAGTTTGAATTTGTTTGGTTAGTTGGTTTTCAAAATATACTTTCAATTCTTGGATTTGCTGTCTCATGTCTTCTCTCAAATTCCGTTCCATCTGAGTTAGGTATGCCTTGATTTCTTTCCCTGTCCATGTTTCTGATGCTTCTAGGTCCTCCTGTAGATTTAAGTTGTCCTGCATTATCTGTACTCCTTTTTTCCCTGGTTTTTTCATGTTGTTCACGTTACTTTCCAGCTCTGTTTGACTGCTTTGTAACTGCTTTCTCCTATACATTTGTTTTGGCTTTGTTTATATCTGTTGTTTCTCCTTTGTGGTGGGAGATTATGCCTATAGATGTTGGGCTTTATTGTACTTTACAGCTGATTCATTCAATTTATAAAGGGCTTCCGGATTTTGTATGCATATAGTGATTTGTTTTTTGTTCTTAGGACTTTATGTTGGGTGCTATGAAGGTATAAGGGTTAGTATGTCTTGGCTACTTTAGAAGATTGCTCTACTGAAGGGGGATGCTAACCGTCAATTGGATCAGGGTGTTGGTAGTAGCTAGGTATTTAGGAGCACTATAGACGGCCTCGAAACATTCACCTATTTGCATTTAGACAGTTACACGAAATGGAGGACATAATGCTTGGGATGAAAGTTGGGGGGAAGGGGAAGGAAGGTGCTCTTGAAAAGAAAGAAGGAGGGGGAGTTAGATAGCATAGGGGAGAATGGAAAAAACAATAAAACTTGGAAGGGGAGAGAAAGAGAGAAAAAGGGAGAGAAAAAATAAAATAAAATAAGAAATAAAATTAGGTCTTAGAGATCCATTTTCTTCTCTTCCCGTAGGCAAAGCTGTGCCCTCCGGGCTGAGATTTGCCCTCAATGTGTCAACAGCAATCCCTGTAAGGCGGCTCCTGGGAGTCTCTCAATCCTGTTGGTCCAGAGCCGTTTCACTTCTACAGCCCCTCCTCCCCTTCCTCCTGCCAGCCAGCCAGGTCCTGTGCACCGGAGGAGGTTCTCCAAGGATTTGGTTACACTTTCAGCCCCTCTGGGTGCTCTATTTCCCTAATGACTGAGCACTCTCTCTGTCATTCATCTAAGCCCCAGTGCTGTGGGGCTGTGTTCTGGGAGTCAATAGTTTAATTTTTCCGGACCCCTTTGGTGGGCACACCTTCGGAGTCTGGCGGCTAAGACCATTGGTGTCGCCACTGGTGGTAATGGGAGTTGGGGGTCGAGGATCCCATCTGCTTCCCTCAGCCCCTACAATCACGACCACTCCGCTGGCAGTAGGGGGAGTTGGGGGTCTGGAGTGTCCTCTGTTTCCCTCCGCCCTTACTGTCACGCCCTCTCAGTTGGCGGTTGGGGGAGTTGGGGGTGGGGAGTCTTCTCTGCTTCCCTCCGCCCCTACAGTTACGCCCACGTCACTGGCAGTATTGGGAGTTGGGGGTCGAGAGTCCTTTGGCCCTTACAGTCACGCCCACGGAGAGATTTTGAAGATTCCTGGTTGTTTGTATCTGATGCGGGTGGGAGTCACACACCTGCTAAAGTAGATTCCGCTGGGAAGGAATCTCTTTGGCCGAACTTTGGTGACTTCCCCTCTCTGCAATGGCAGGCCCCTGCCTCCTTGCTGGAGTGTCCGAAGGGAGGGGTGGAACTGGCTTGTCTCTGGTCTGACCCAATCTCTGGTTTTAGTTCCCAGTTCGCTATTTCATAAAGGCTTGGTTAGATTTCCTTCACGTCGTCTCAGGGGGGGGAGCCCTTTGCCCGGTGGGCGGGGCCGTGCACAGTGGGGGCGGGGCCGTTAGCAGAGCTGGGAGGGCACAGGCCGTCTGCCGGGCGGGGACCCTTCTCGCTGCGCGGGCCGCGGGGGCCGCCTGCAGAGCCGAGCCTGTGCTGGCCGGGGGCGGGGCCGCCAACAGAGCCGGGAGGGCAGGGGGCCCGTTTGCCGGGTGGGCGGGGCCGTTAGCAGAGCCAGGAGGGCGCAGGCCGTTTGCCAGGCCAGGCGGGGACCCTTCTCGCCGCGCCGGCCGCCAGGGGCCGCTTGTAGAACCTGGTAGGAAGTGGCCTCGTGGCTAAGAGCCGGGCGGGCGGGGTGGTCCATCACAGAGCGAGCGGGGCCGCCAGGAGAGCCAGGATGGCGGGAGCCGTCTGCCGGGCCAGGCGGGGACCCTTCTCGCTGCCCCGGGTCGCCGGGGGCCGCTTGCAGAGCCGGTTGGGCGGTGGCTGCGGGATTGGACCTCTGCGCCCGCGTGGCCGGCCAAGATTCACTTGTCTGGGGCCAACTGTCACCTCTAATATAACTTACTACTCCCTGGCAGGTCTCCTTTCAGCGGAATTTTGCTAGAAGTTCCTCAGTAGGTAGAATGTAGCTGTTTTAATGGGTGTTTCTGATCCGGTTAATGTGGAGATACTGAAAGTGCTGCTTCCTTGCCGGCAGCCATGTTGGATCTCTAGATATATTTTATTTTAGATGGTATTTTACTTAATATTTATTTAGTTTACAAATGTTTACATAGTGCCAGTTCTTTGTTCTAGAAAGGCTAAGTAACTTACTCAGTGTCTGGCTTCAGAGTTGATGCTCCTTATACTTTGTAATCATGCTTGTTTTAATACTCTTCCCCTTTGCTCTCAAAAGAATTACATCATTTTCAGTCAGTTTTATCATAACCTATCATTATTGGATAATAAAAAAAATTTTGATGATAAGTTTTTTCAGAGTAACCAATTTAATAGGTATAATATGAAATCTTTTTTCTATAAAAATGCTTGAAAAGGAAGATTAATTTTAAAATGTAAAGCTTTAAGTTAAATTTTTGTTCATTTAAAAAACATTTCTGTATGATGTTTTTCCTCCATTATAAATCTAAAAGTAACAGGTGGTTGGTTGGCCAAGGCTATTGCTAAAGAAAATGATATTTTGGAGATTCCCAGAATAAATCATCACTCTTCATGGACAGATAGAATTGTTTATTGATTTTGTTTAGCAAGTGTGTTGTAGTAGAGATTCTTAATTGTGCAAAAATATTATAATTGAGAACGATTTTGTCAATGCTAATTTCCTAGATCAAGTATTTATTGAAGACAAATGTTTTAAATTATAAGAATAGTACTTGATCACAGTTGAAAATTACAAACAACACAAGAGGGTTGAAAAAGAGTTCCCATCACCTAATCTTAGTTCACTAGATATATAAAAACCATCCTGTATCCAGCTACCATTCTTCTTCAGCTATAATACTATTAACAGTTTTTAATAATAATGGTAATTATTATTATTATTATCCAAAGTACAGGTAAGAAATGAATTGATGTGAATATACTATGTATACAACCAGAGATATGAAAAATTGTGCTTTATGTATGTAATAAGAATAGTAATGCATTCTGCTGTCATATATAAATTTAAAAAAATTAAGAATTATTATTTGTTATGTAAGAGCCTAACTTTTAATTTTTTTTTTTTTTTGGTGGTGAAGCTGTGAATTCTTTGGAATTGTGAATATTCTTTTGAAATATGGAGCCCAGCTAAATGAACTTCATTTGGCATACTGCCTGAAGTATGAGAAGTTTTCAGTGTTTCGCTACTTTTTGAAGAAAGGTTGCCTGTTGGCACCATGGAACCATATATCTGAATTTATAAATCATGCAATTAATGCACAGATAAAATACAAGGAATGGTTGCCACATCTCCTGCTTGCTGGATTTGACCCATTGACTCTACTCTGCAGTTCTTGGTAAGAAATCCTATGTTAGTGGGCCTTAATTCTTATTTAAATAACTAAGCTACCATTAAGTTTCCCCAGTTTCTTGAGATCTCTGGGTTTGGAAGAGGGAGTGTATATATGTTTATGAGTTTTGACTGTCATGATAGGGTTAAAATGAAGGAAGGAGTTGGGAGCTGCAAATAGTGAAATTAAGCATAGAGGCCTAGAAAAGGTGACTGGTAGAAGTGGGTAGAAAGAGATAGATGCCAGTGAGAGGGATATTTCTTCTGCTTCTGGCTATCCCTTATGCCTCTCTTAAAATGCCTGTGACATAAAAAGGAATGATTGTAGCTGCTTTGAAGATTCTGTTATCTTTCACCAAACTATATTGGATACTCCTGCCCTACAGCATCTTGTCATTTTGAAATTTTTCTCCCTTATTAAAATAATGATTTCTGAAGTGTCTGAGGATATAATGTGTTTACTTGATGTAGTTTTGTAGTAGGCAGTCCTCTATAAGGGATTATTATTAATGCTGAGTCAGGATTTTTGTTGGGCAAGAAGAGGAAGACTATTTGTGCAAGCCTCCAGCCTTTGCAGAAATTGTTAATGACCTGAGACACATAATTTTTTCAGTGAGAGGACCCTTTCCTGATATTCAAGTCAAGTGAAAAAGTAGAATAGAAGTCTCCAGGGAAATAGAAGACATTGTTTTGTAGAATTTCAATAGAACATCTACTAGTTTTCATTTTGTACTTCGAAAACTAGCATTCACTAAAGTAAAATTTAGACAAATGCTGAGATATTTCAGCTTTTTTCCTCTCCAAAGAGGCTTTCTTTGAGAGTGTAGGCATATAGTGCCTGTTGCCACTGCTGGTGAGATTAATTTGTATTTATGTGAACTCCACCTTCCTCCTAGTGCCGCCTTCTTTATATGAAGATTGGGTCTGTATTTGGCTGTATACCAGTATCTCACGTTTTTAATGTGTTTGCCATAGAATTCAAAAATTTTCACTAATGGGACTGTTATCTTTCTGACACTATGGATTTCAGACATGTGGTTTGTGAGGAAAAAAGTACTTTCTGTTAGATGGTTTGGGGCATACAGAAGTAAGAGCAAAGTTGAGATAAATGTTCTGATCTTACCTTAACTTTTGTTTATAGTTTATAACAGTTTCAACCCCTTAGTTGTATTTTTTTCCATCAGCTGTTTAATAAATAAATAGTTGTTTGTCAAATGCTCATGGTTGCTATTCCTTTTATACCTTTCCTAATATATTACTTTTTGCAAAGCTTCACTTTTTTTTTTTAAGATAATTGAAACTTACGGCTGAGTTACTGACATATTTCTGATTTTTTATTTTATTAGAGCTTTATAGTTATGCAGTAATTGGGTTCATCCCAGCAAACTCATACATGTGTGGAATTCAGTTTCAATTCATTAGTTCCTCTGTCCCCCTTCTGTCCTTTCTTCCCTCCTGTTTTCCTTCCCCTGCTAGACTTCCTTTTGCTAGCCTATTTATTTATATATATTTGGTTCTTTTTACTTATATATAAAGGTGAAATTCCCTGTGGTATATTATACATGCATGTAACATGATTTTTTAAAAATTAATTTTACGGGGCTGGGGTTGTAGCTTAGCGGTAGAGCACTCTCCTAGTACATGTGAGGCCCTGGGTTCGATTCTCAGCACCACATAAAAATAAACAAATAAAATCAAGATATGTGTTCATCTACAACTAAAATATTTAAAAAAAAGAATTAATTTTGCATTGCTTTGCCTTTCCTATCCTGCCACTTTGCCTCTTGGTCTTCTACTTCTATTCTTCCCTCCCCCTTTCATTTCTTTTACTCAGTCTTCTATATATGAGAAAAAACATTCAGCTTTTGAGTTTTTGAGTTTGGCTACTTTCACTTAGCATCATGTTCTCCATTTTCATCCATTTATTGGCATGTTATAATTTCATACTTTTTTATGGCTGAGTAGAACTTCATACTTGTCTATTTGTCTTAATAGCTCCCCCTTACATGCACACATGTGTTATTAAGGACACAGTTAGTTATTAAGAAAGTTATTTAAGTATTCTTAACTGAATTTCACAATTGGTTTTGGTCTCTGGACAGATAGCTGCAGTTGCCCCTCACCATTTTAGGATTCACTCCCAGACAGTGCTGTAAATTGAACTGAACACGTGGGGTAGCTGTGGTCAGTCTGGACAGTCTGATCCCTTCATCTTTTTACCCCACGAAGTGCTTCCAAGGCATCCAATTTCTTGTTTTTTTTTTTTTTTTTTAAAGAGAGAGAGAGAGAGAATTTTAATATTTATTTTTTAGTTTTCGGCGGACACAACATCTTTGTTTGTATGTGGTGCTAAGGATCGAACCCGGGTCGCACGCATGCCAGGCAAGTGTGCTACCGCTTGAGCCACATCCCCAGCCCGGCATCCAATTTCTTATCAGTCAGTCATATTTACTGTGTTTCTCTACTGAAGCTATAACTCCGGGGAAAAGCTCTACTGCTTGTCACTCCACTAGAAACTTGGGAAACAGGTGGGTGAAGAAAAGGGGTTTATGCAAAGCCAGCTTTTAGGTAGATAGAGACCTTTATGTTTTAAATCTTCATCTTCAGGGGGCTCAGAGGCCCAGAAAGATTTTATAAGAGAAAAAGGTGGCACAGTGGAACAAAAGGCAAGTATTACACATAGGTAGACTTAGCTAGAGAACCCCAGTTTCAGCCTCCTTGGCATCTTTTCTCAGCAGGAGGAATTAAGGCATGGAGGAAAAACGGTTACCAGAAAGTTGCTTTTAATTTCAAAGGAACTGTTTCAGAGCTATTAACTGACACCATGTGACTTGCCCAGTACTTTCAACCTTCATGCTCTCCCCGGTTTTTATTTATTTATTTATCTAATCAAAACTAAGGATACTGCCTGACACCCTGTAAGCATTATTTTAAGTTTCTGTACTCCTGTTAGTTCATGTATAATACAAGGGAGTAGGTGCTATTGTTATCTTTATTTTACAGAGGAGGAAATTGAGGCAGAGTGTTCAATATTCTTGCTCAAGCTCACAAATTAGCTCTGGAGTTTTGAGTTAAATTTGAACTCAGACTCCTACAGTGTGGCTCATACATATCTCTGTTCTTTACCACTCTGCTGTGCTACCTTAGCCTTACGAATCCACAGCAATGAAGTAGTAGTATCACTGATTATAAGTTTTTTTATTCTTTGCCAAACCTGGAGGATTCATGCCAATCTTTCTTGGTCCTTTCTGCTCCTAAGTTATGAAAACCCACACAGGAAAAGAGAATTAAACCTTGTGTCTTTGCCCAGCCAATTAGATAAACTGTGACTGCCTGTATGCAGAGGGACTGTTTAGCTTTATTCTCTTAGAGGGTTTTGTGAAGTATATTCTCATTTCCCTAGTTCTGATACAGCTTCCCCACCCTAAATGTAAATAGTTGAGAATTTTTGTGGTTGTAAACCACTGGTTGTATAGCTGTATTTATTGAATATGTTGGAATACAGAGAGTTAGGAACCAATAAGCTACAAATTATTTTAAAGTAAGTTGTAAAACTTTCAGCTGTCTGAATTGAGAAAGCCAATTGCATATATTTTGCTACTAAAGACTAACTTTAGTCACTTTATATTCATTAGAAAAAATACAATGGAAAATTTCACTTTAGAAATGAAAATACTTAATATGGTCAAATTTTTGTTCACTGATCTTTTATTTAATAGATAAAGCCAATGTTTACACTGAATATGATAAATGTTTTGCTTTCTTTGATCAAATTTACACTCAAAGAGCTGTTATAAGAAAAATTCTCCTGTAAAAATACCAGTATGTTGTTAAAGTAGATTTTGGTTGTTTCTTATTTATATTGCATGCAAGCCTGTCATGTAAATTATAAATATCTTTCCTAGGTATCCCTTGTCTTAAACAGTCTTCAAAATGCATCTGACTGAATAATTGCCTGTCACAGTATAATCTGTGAAGTAGAAATATTTTTATCAACTTTAAAGCAAGAATTAAGTCTCCCCCGCCCCCCCCCCGAAAGTAATAGGAGAATAATAGAAAGCAAATGTCATCTGTGCATTTTGTTGATTAACTGTCACTCATTTATCCTCATACAACTGCTTTGTACAATGTAATGGTCAATGTAGTGCAATAACAATAAATTTTAGTGGCATTATCAGTGTTGGTAAAATAAACTCACCATTATATTAACTAAAGCTGTACAAACAGATTTGCTTCTCATGTGTGTTCTGATAACTGAATAAAATGATTTTGTGTTGGGTCACAGTGAGTCTGAAAGCACATTAAGGCAGAAAAATGAAACCATTAAAAAAGAAATAAGGAACCAAAACCAAATAACCTTTGGTATGGTGCTCCAAGAATGCCAAGGAAATTGTTTGTCTTTGAATATATTTTATCCTTTTATTAATCTCAGTATTCCTGATAAGTTGTGATTTCACTGAGAACTGAGAAGAAGTAAAATCTTTTCCCAAGGCATTTGTCTTACATTTATTGTATATTTGCATATCTGAGAATTAACAGTTTAATAATTCTCATACTCTAATCAGTCATTTCAGGGATACTTTGACTCTAAATTACTAAAAATAAGTTGTGTTTGAAATGACAAGTTTAGAGTATTATATAGTTTCTGTTTTTTCTTCTCCGTCTTTCCCTTCTTCAGTTGTTACTGTAATGTCTCCCAAACAATTTACCTTGGGAAGATTTTCTGTTTCTGTAGTAATTACTAGAGGTCCTGTGTTAGTCAGCTTTTCTTTACTGTGACCAAAAAACTTGACACAAAACAACTTAGAGGAGGAAAAGCGTTTTTTGGGCTCATGGTTTCAATCCATGGTTGGCTGACTCAGTTGTTTTGGGTCTTAGGAGAGGCAGAGAATCATGGTGGGAGGGCATGGTAGAGGAAAGCTGTTTGTCTTTTGGGTGTGTTGGTAGGGAATCTGTATAATTTTGAAAGAACAAAGGAAGAACTGTTTGTATGGAATCACTTCTTTGAATCCTTAAAGACAAATCTTATTCTAGTACATCTTTTATGTCTGAATCTATAATGAGAAATGAGAATAGCTGTACATTCCTGGAAATTGGGTATAACCAAGCCATCTTTCTTGTATACTCAGTTTAGCAATAACTTGAGAGTGCTTGGGCTTTGTCCTTTCAGGATTATTAAATGATGTGTGTAAGGATGACCAAACTACATTTGGCAAGATGGTTGGGAGGAGATGATGGTAAGTCCACTATGATACTGGTACTGTTTCCAATGAGAAGGGAAGTTCTACTCTAGTAGAGAATAGAGCTTCCTTTTATTATCTCTTGGACAACTACACACACAGTCAATTTCCTTTTTAGTAGGAACCTGTTGATGATTATTCATATCCACCAAACTTATCTTTAGTTACATGAATTCTTTCTGTCTCCTATTTTTTGTGCCTTCCTCATTAAGATATAAGCATAGATTTGTAGTATATGTTTCTACAACATAAGGTGAAGCCTATGTGTATTTTGTCTCTGATGACTTGTTAACATCTTATTAATGTAGGATTGACTCAGTCAGCGATGACATTCTCATCTTCACTTTGGAATTTACTAATTGGAAGAGACTACCTCCAACTGTTGAAAAGATGCTCTCTGCTCGTGCCTCAAACTCCTCCTGGGTTCTGCAACAATGGATTGGTAAGAAAGAACAATTTTAAACACACTTTACTGCTTTTCCTTCTCATGCTTCTCTGTATTGTAATTTTAAGTTAAAAAATTTGTTGGAGAACACATAGTAAATTGGATATAATTTACATTTTCTTATATGGAGAAAGGATTGAATTGTTGGGGAAGATAATTTCCTTTAAAAAATTATATCTGATTTTTATTTAAGTTTAGCCTAAAGATCATGTAAAGAAAAGTAGACGTTTACTGACATTTTAATTTTTAAATAAGTGTTATGTAAACAAAGTGGATCCTAAAAATCAGCTTTTTAAAAATTTAGTTTGTGATCAGAAATATGCTAAACTTAGTTTTGCTTTTTGGAATATGGGTGGATTTATGTTCTCTCTGTATCATTTTATCATCTCTAAGAGGAAATGACACCATCCTTTACTTACACCTCTCTACTGATTCTGTGTCTGTCTGTTGTCTTTACTGATTCTGTGTCTGGCATAGTATAATTATGGAGGTAAGCTGGGTGAAAATTCTGTAAATTTGCTGATATTTAAATGACAGTTTTAAAAACATTTTCAACTTACCTTTACTCATTAAAACTTTTTCAAGCTAATTTAAAGCTGATTATCAAATTTTTGATTAAAAAAATTAAAGAATATGCAGTGGGATTTTGCACAAGAAAAGTAGTTTAAACTAAACATGTATGCAAAGTTTTCCTATTTTTCAGATTTATTTTACTTTGACTATATTTTTTTAACTAGATTATATGTCTTATGTTAGAAAAACTATTTCTTCACTGCTATTTTTACTTAAAATAACTCATCATAAAACATTTTAAGATAGGCTTTTAACAAGTGAACATATGCATATGTAGAAATGTATCTTCTAATTTATTGGAAAACTATATTTAAGTAAATATTTTTAATCCAAAACATTCAGGAAAATATGCTCTTGCACCAAGGTATATTTAAGCTGTTAGGTTTTTTTTTTTAAAGGAATCTGATAAGAATCTCTTGAGTCTTCTAGTTTAGAATTTCTTACTGATAATGTTGGAAAACTGACTTGCATGTAATTTTTATTTTCTTTTGGTGGTACTGGAGATTGAACCAGGCATGTTGTACCACTGAACTATATATATCCCTAGCCATTTTTTTTTTTTTTTTTTTTAGTTGATGGACCTTTTTTTAAAATTTATTATATGTGGTTCTGAGAGTTGAACCCAGTGCCTCACACATGGTAGGCAAGTGCTCTTCCACTGAGCCACAACTCCATCCCCCATTTTTATTTTTAATTTTATCACAGGTTCTTGCTGAGTTGCCCAGGCCAGCCTTGAACTTGCCATCCTTCTGTCTCAGCCTCTCTAATAACTGGGATTACAGGTGTGTGTCACCACATCTAGTCACTTGCATGTAATTCTTAATGTTAAGAATTTACTCTGATTTTAACTAATTATGTATCTGCAGCAGAAGAGAGCAAATATCTATTCAGAACGGATAGAATATGTGACAGTGGATTTGGGAACAGTCAAAAGAGGGAACATATACCTAATGGGGAAATTATTGCAGTGTTATCAGTTAGTAAAGATATGTGAGAGTTTACTCTGAAGATCTTAACATATGGCAGGCTTGTCCAGATGAAGGTAAAAATTGAGCATGGGTATATTACCTTGCAGTAGACTAAATCCATCAAGAGCTTCTTGTTTAATTAGGCACTAGGCAGACCTTGTGTAGCGTAAACATCATCATCTCTTAAGAGGATTTTATGCTGGCTGAAGATTTGCAAAAGTCTTTCTCAAAGGTATTAAGATAGCTAATGCTTTTCTAGTCTATTTCTCTAGCTAAGACCGTTTTTCTTGGTTCCAGTTCCATATAGCCAATAGCCTTTTGGATAGCTTCACTTGGTATCTCACATTTTGACATATTCAAAAATTGAGCATTCATTTTCCTATAAATTCTTCTGTTCTTTCTGTCTGTTTCCTGGTTCAGAAGGTGAGATGGTTTGGGAGTGATATTTACAAAGAGAGTGAGTTTAAGCCAGGCAGCCATTCGGAGCAGTGGTTTTAGGGGTTGAGTATGATTTTTGTCCCCAGAAGAAATTTGACAGTGTCTGCACACAGGTTTTGATTGTTACAACTTATAAGGGTGCTCTTGTCATCTAGGGGGATGTTTAGCAGCCAGGGAAGCTGCTAATCATCCTACATTTCACTGGACAGCCTCCCACAACAGTTATTCAGCTGCAATGTCAGTAGTGGTGAGGTTAAGAAATCCCAAGCTAGGGACTGGGATTGTGGCTCAGCGGTAGAGTGCTCGCCTAGCATGGGTGGGACCCGGGTTCGATCCTTAGCACCACATAAAAATAAAGGCATTATGTTGTGTCCATCTACACCTAAAACATAAATATTAAAAAAAAAAAAAAAAAAAAGAAATCCCAATCTATAGTGACTCTCCAGTCCAGGCTTTTTAACCCTGTCCTGGGATGGCTTTTTAACCTTATTGCAAATTACTTGTGTTCTTTCTCCTACTTGGCCTCTCAGGGTATTTTGCAGTATCTCCTCTCATGGAGATAGTAGGAACCATTACAATGCTGGAGTTTTAATAAGTCTGGGAAGAAAAGGTCTGCCCAGTTGCTTGCCTGGGTTTCAAATGGATTATGATTCTCTTCCTTTCTCTAGTTCAGGGTTGTCTCGGTATATCCTTTTTCTTTTTGGCTTTTCAGTACACTCAATTTCTTTATGTTGGTCTTCTAGACTTTCTCCTTTCCCTGGATTTGAGCTATAGGATCTCAGAAAGCAGAACATGGGCAAGATTTTAACTAGTAGGAGTGAGTCCTGAAGAACAGCTCCTTGTTTACCTTTCTTCATATGATACTCTTGTTTTTACCCCATTTTCTCCAGTACTTATCATAATATTAAATAACAGCTGCCTTTTCAATATATTTTTAGAACATTTTATGGGAAGATGCATCTTGCACCTCTGCTGCTGTTGGTATGCCCCTAGGTAATGCTCAGCTCCTTAGCCCTGTTAAGTATGCCAGCAGTATCTGTCCCCATGGAAAAGTTTTCTCCATCTTTTTAAGAAGCCCTTTCCAAGTCCTGAAGGTGCCTTGTTTTTGGTCAAGATTCTCCTTTCCTTATCTTTTCTACCCCAAGGAAGCACTAACTTGCTGTGGTCATTTATAAACAAAAAGGGCAAACCATTCTTTGTTGCTTATTTTTAACTATTCAGTTATCTTCAAAAAATTTCTTGCTTAGGAAAGGTAATGTATACCAGGTAAAATTTACTGAGTGGTTATAGTTTTAGTGACAATCTTTTTACCATGTGCCTTACACATACCTCTTTGAAACATCACTCTGATCCCATACCAGTAGACTTCTTAGTCAAAAAATTCCAGCTGGGCCAGGTGGCACATACCTGTAGTCCCAGATACTCAAAGAGACTTAGGTAGGAGATCACCTGAACCCAGGGTTTTTAGGCAATATAATAGTTTGGGCAATATAACAAGACCCTGTCCAAAACAAAACATGTTTAAATTTACCAATTCCTGGTCATCTGCTCAAGATCACATTTAAGTAATTAAATTCTTTTGGATAAAAGCACTTGATTTTAGTTCATTCTGAACTTGTTTTTTGATGGGATGGTGGGCAGGTACTGAGGATCGGACTCAGGGTCTTGCATATGCTAGTCAAGTGCTCTCATGCTGAGCTATGTTCCAGCCGTTTTTAGTTTTATTTTGACACAGGGTCTGAGTTGCCCAGGCTGGCCTTGAACTTGGGATTCTCTTTTGAATAGCTAGGATTATGGGTGTGTGCCACTGTGGCCGTCTAATTCATCCTGAACTTTTTATTTTATTTTTATTTTTTGTAGTACTGGGGATTTAACCCAGAGGCACTCTTCCACTGAACTGCATCCACATCCCTTTTTATTTTTATTCTGAGACAGAGTCTCATGTGGTTGCTGAGGCTGGCCTCAAATTTAAGATCTGTCTGCCTCAGTCTCCCAACCAGTTGGAATTAACAGGTGTGTGCCACTGCACCTTGGCTATTCTGAATTTTTAATAACCAGATATATTTAGTTCTACCCAGAGTGTTAAATGGATCTGAATACTATAAAGGATCCTAAAAGATCCCCAGCAAACTCTTGTAATCTTTTTATGCCAGTGTTCTTTTGCTTTGTTCTAAACAGGATTTACAAAGTTTATACACATAATACAATCACAAAACAGTAAAATAAATGTTAAAAATGGAAGTTAATGAAAAAGTTGGGAATGGATCTTTTTTAAAAGGTTGGTTTGTGAGGAAGAAGTATTCTTTTGTGAAACCCAAGGAACATTGTCAGGACTCTTTCCTAAATATAAGGCTGAATAAGTATCTACAGTTTGAATCAAAGGGTAGTTTTGAAACAGCAGTGTTCCCAGTTTTGAGCAATGCTCTTTTTTTATGTACTCTTCAAAATAAACCATTTTTGGTTAGGATGCCAATGTAACTACATTGGTAACTTATTTTATGAGATTGGTTGTTATATAAACAAAATTTAAGTTTAGAATAGTTGATCTGTAGTGCTTTAATTGTCTACTCAAGGTATTTCCAATTTAAGGTAGTAAATATTCTGGCTTTTAAAGACTATTTAAATTTTTAGAATATCTGTTTTTCTTTTTTCTTTAGTAAGAGCATGTATCTTGCCACTTAATAAGATATCAAGTTACTTTTTAAAAAGATGGAGTTGGAATATAATCTTACTTTTATGCCAGTGAGATTTTTTTTTTCCTTTTAAACCAGGGATTAAACCCAGGGCTTCCAGAATGCTAGGTAAATGCTCTACCACTGAGCTACCTGCCCATCCCTGCCAGTGAAACATTTTAACTTCTCTGTTAACTTTGACTGTGATAGTAAAGATCAGGTGCAGGTTCTTCTTGGATGTCAGACAGAGTACAGTAGTTAAAGGTTGGAGCTCTGTAATTAAATAGACATGCCTCCAACATTTTCTAGCTATAGGGAATTACTTGTATCTCTGAGCTTTGGTATC